GTTAAATAAAAATCGTTTTCTTTTAGTAATTGTAGATCACTTTTCAAAATGGACAGAAATTGTTCCACTTAAACGCGCGTCAGCCAAAACAGTCGCAGATGCATTCTTACACAGATACATTTTAAAATACGGTGCACCGATAAAGTCATTAGCGATAACGGAAAACAATTCATTAGTCAAATATTTGAAAACATATGCACTGGACTTGGCATACGCCATATCAAAATGGTTCCGTATAGACCACAGGCAAACATAGCAGAAAGAGTGAATAAAAACATTGTAAAAATAATTCGCAGTTACGTTAGCACACATCACAAGCACTGGGATGGCTACATAAATGAATTAGCTTATGCTTTAAGAACGGCAAATCACGATACTACGGGAAAAACCCCAGCAGAATTATTTTTAGGCCGAAAGTTAATTACGCCTTTAGATAATATGTTCTTTGTGCAACAAAGGGAAGCAAGAATTTAAACAGAAAAGATGTGCAGAAACTTATTGATCAGGCGGTTAAAAAGCTCGGATACGGCAAGAAATAGACAAAAAACTATTACGATAATCGAAAACGCCGTGAAGCAGATTTTAAAGTATGGGGATAAAGTATTGAAAGTGGAAATTTTCTTTATCAAGTGCCCCAGACAATTTTACTGCAAAGTTAGGCTCCAAAATTTGAAGGCCCCTATGTAATTCAGAAATCAAAGGAGTCGTATTGTACCTTAAGAACGAGAGAGGGGAAATCTGTAAAGCAAGTCCCGACCAGGGGAAAAAATACTATAATCAAAATGATTTTGAAATCCTTAAAAGTTTCTTGCAGGACTCAAGCCTAAAAGAAGTAGAAGGTCCAGAAATAACGACAACCGTTCCACCACCGAAGAAGCAGAGAACTGAAGAAGAGAACCTAGCCCTTCTAGAACCCATGGCGACGGTACCGAAAAGAAGAAACGAAAATCTTTCAGACTCCAGCATTTAAGAAAAACAAGAAATGCAAAGCCGCCGCGTAAAGAAATCCTTGGTAAAGAGGAAAACACCACCTTACAACGTATCGCAGTAGAAATTATGACATCGAAGGAGAACGCTCCCAGGGCCATAGAATCAGGTGCAAACAAGGCCGCCGTTCCCGAGAACTAAAAGACAGCAGGAGGAACGAAAAGACCAGCAACAATAGAAGAAATTCAAGAAGGACTCCAGACCGGAGGACGTCAAGACCAGCCATCCAAGGGAAAAACGAAAAAGACAGCAACCCGACGATTGCTACGCCAAGAGGCCAGCATGCAGAGGACGCAAAGGAAAAACTAATGTGGACGACACTCGGAGGTCAGTAAGGAGAAGATTGACGTCCATGAAACCTATAACGTGGGAACAGTTTTGCCAGAAAAGAATGACGGAGTTTCAATCATCGAAAACTCAAAGATAAGTTAAAATCTTCTATAAATTTTTTGTTGTTGTTCCGAAATGTTATGCGTAAGTACGAAGTTCTATGTTTTGACGAATGTCAATATGTCTCGGTTGAGACTTAGTTTTGTTTTACTTTATTTAGCTAAGGCAAAAGTATTATTTTCTTTAAGTACAAAATCTAAGAACAAGCATTTTCTGTTGGTCAAAAGACTAATTCTGTTATGTTAAAGCCAAAATTTGGCCGAAGATAAAAATAACTTCGTATTCTTGTATTAATAAGAATTTTAGTTTCAGTGCCGCCAGCTTGGCGAAGAATGAGTAAAGTAAAAATTTATTTTCTCTTATTCATTTTATGGTAAATTATAAAAATCATATGTATTAAAATTTTGTAAATATACGTAAATACTTGAATGTTATGTAAAAGTAGAATTTAGTCTAGATGAATAAAATTTTAGATGCTAAAAGTAAATGCTTAAAAGCAATGAATTCGAATTTAAGTATTAAACTGTAGATAAAATCATGCTTTAGAGCGAAAGCCTGCATGTCTAAAGATGAATGAGGGGGAAGTTAGAATGAATGTGTTTTGTAGGGTTCTCCACCTACACTTGAATATTAAGAGTGTTAAAGTAGCTCTTCGAGTTGCAGAATGTCGAGTAAGGTGTGTCTATTTGGTCGTTGAATTCTAACAAATCATGGTAGTTAGGGGAAGTGTTGTAAGACTAAAACACGAATATTCCCGTTTGACACCACACATGGTGAAGAGCCAGGGTAAAGTTAAATTAATGTTTGAATAATTGAATGAATGTGAAGTAAGCAGTAACTAAGGAAAACGAATCGTTTAAGAACAAAAATTTATTCAGTGTCAAGAAAGTGTAAATTATAATGTATTTAGAAAGATACTGATACTTATTCCTTCCAGATGCTGGAAGGAAAAGAACAAGATTGATTGCTGAAGTCCAGGAAAAGTTGCTGTAAGAAGAGAGATTTATATAAGTATCTACAGAAATTTAGTATACCTTTTGTTACATAAGATTTTTTTTTGTGTAAACGAGGCTCTTAAGAGTTAGTTCAGAATTGTAGAAACTTTACAACAGGTCGTTTGTAGGACCTGCTTCCAAGTTTTCCAAATTCTGGCAGCGGCAAATGTAGGGTTTATATTTATTTTAACTAACATTTATTTTAAGTTTAAACTATCTTTCCTGTCAAGGCTTACTTTCCCCTGGAACTGCCAATGCCAGAATATGTAAATGTTTAGTAGAACGCGCAAGGATTCAAATTATCAGCGGAAGTATTCTGAGTTAAATAGAATGGAAACGAGTTCGAGGTGTGCTGTTCTTACTTCACGAGCGCGGAGGTAGTTAGCCAGAAATTGAAGAACCCCGCGTTTCGGCCTGTGTGCTTGCCTCGGAGAATTGTTAATCGTTCAACGTGATATTCAAAGTTTGCTGAATTAGCAGCGGTATTGTAAAACGCGGTGAGGTTAGTTACGTTTAGAGAGCCTCGTAGTTAGAGTCTTGTTATTATTTCTTTTCAGGTTCTTATTTTTATTTTACCGCCGGGTCGGCGTAGTTTGTGAGCGACAAGAGCACGCAATTGTAATTTCTTAAGTTGAATAAAAAGGGACTTGAACTCTTAACAAGACTCTGTCTAAATTCCAGTTTCAACAGTCACCTCTTGGTTGAGTGCAGGTTGGAGGCGCGCAACTCTACAGCCCTTTAAATAAAATTTGATGTCATGCATTTTTAATGACCTAAATTGTAAATAGATCTTTTAGGGGGATCAGAATATTATGAGATCAATGCGTTTGAAAGCGTTTGAAATAGAAGTTGCGTTTTTGATCTCAGAGTTATAAGGAAGAACAATAATTTGACCTCGAAGCATTGATAAATCACTTTCTACAAGATATTTACTACGCATCATTTCTATTTCCTGAAATGAAATAAATTATGATAATTAACTGAAACTAGTTTAGCAGCTAAGATAGAATAAAAATACATCAGTACCTCGCATAGGTTTGGCTTAGATCAGTCCGTATTCACTGTAGTCTGTTTTGAAAATTTAAAAGAAAACTAAATATTAATTGAGCAAAATAAAAATAAATTCTAAAACATTAGTGCACAAAATGGTTTTTAATGCATAAATGACTAGGTGTTTTTTTTTCCCCAATTAGACGTTCAAGATACTTTTTGGGCATTTTTTATGCATTTTTTAAATTATACAATGGGATGCATATTCCAAGTATCTTTTCCGCTGTCTGTTTGTTTACAAAAGTATCTATTCTTGAGCCGTTCTTTCATGAGCTCTGTCAACTATCGGCAGAAGAGGTGAGAAGAGCACTTAATTGAGTGCATCAAATCGAACATTAATTAAATAGATAATAAAACACTTATTAACACAGATGAACAACGGGCCTGTGAGGAGATAGAGGACAACGACGGCTATATTGAAAATTAACAGCTGAACAAATATCGAAAACAATTGGAATGGATGAAATTTTATCAGAATATATTATGGAAGTTAATCTCAACATTAAACGTTCACTTATAATTCGCCGAACGATAAACAAAGTAATTCGGTGCTATAAAAGAAGTGTATGAAGAGAAAAGGCTAAAGGAAGACAATGTGCAGAGATTAATATTGCAGGTTTTCGAGAATAAAAATTGAATTACTAAAAACGTAAAGTTTCAAAGTATTTGAATTTATTAATCTTGTTTTATTTATCCTTATATAGGGAGAGAAAAAAAATAGAACAGAATTATCATTTTTTGTTGATAGTAAGTTCCTCAATTAGCCCGGCTTCGAAAAGTCCGGGGTACTGCTGGAACCGATTGCCCGTACTGTGCGAGGTATTGCAGCATTTGCATTAGTTTTAAGAAAAAATTTAATTCAATAACGGCTGCGAACTCGATTAATTTTTCATTATTTAATATATAGTAAAAAATATACAATCAAAATGTTTCATGCATTAAAATCATTACAAAAATTATCACATTACAGAGTTTACTAATGTTAAAAAGACCTAAAGATTTCATTCAGTATATTTAATCATTTAATATAGTTTCTCTATTCAAATTATTCAATAATGGATTATAAGTATCTGCATGTTGTGAAAGTAGACCATATAACAAACACACAGAATAGTTACATTTTAAAGTGACTATTCTGCTGAATTTAGTGAATTCTTGATTACAAAGGGAAAATTTTATATATATCTTTTCTAATTTTACCACTCAATTTTAATTTTAGAAAGCATTTTCTTACAATTTTTCTCACTTCTAGTATTGTTTTTCTAGAATTTTTAAGGTTTTCATAAATTCCTTTAGATATGCATTTTATGTCAGATCCTTTTACAATATTTGAAATGATCCAAATAAGCAAAATTTGCATTAATAACTTGCAAGATGCTACAGATTCCTAATTTTTTTTTAAATTTATATAAAAGTTAATTACAAGCAGAAAAGAGCTAGAGCTATTGCTAAAATTTTATGAAATCAACCTGGACCGTATATGTTTCATTGCATTATCTGATATTTATAACTTGATTTTTAAAATTTGCAATTTAAACGCATTAAATTGACGTATAAAAGAATGTAATAATTCCTTACCTTTTATCAGTTCTTTATTACATAAATATTGCAAAATATTTAGCTATAAATTCCAGAGGAACAATTTCGCATCTGTTGTAACTCGAATTATTCATATAATTTGAAAGAGTCTACCCAAAATAGGGTTGAAGCAAAAATAAAAAAACTCCATTGTCATACAAAAAGTTACCCCCCACACGCAAGCCAATAAAAACGCACCAACTCAAAATGCGAGCATGAAAGCAAATGGCCAGTTGACTAGGAAAGGTGGCTCTCTCAACACGCACATGTGTTTTCACATAAACCAGTTGCTGCATTGTGAAATTGTCGGTAAGGGAGGGGAACCAAGATGAACAAAAGAGAGATGTCCACACGCTGCATAACTTGCATTATGAGAGCAAAAGGATAGAGGATATCAGTTTTTTTTTTTTTTTTTTTTTTTTTTTTTCCCTTTCTAAATCCTACTAACATGCATCTTTGATCAAAATAGATTTATCAGCCACTAACAATTTAAATTACTTAAATCTAAGTAACTATCTACTGTCTTTAAAATCTACTGTCTGCTCAATCTACTATCTTTAATCTTAAACTATTTAAATTGTAATCAATTTTCTTTCATTGTTCATTAACTTTACAGTAGTTGTACTTTCAGTTATTCAGTCTCTTGAAACAAATTTGTCTACTTGTGAACACAGCTTAACATAAACTATATCTTTTTAAGTAGTATATAAGAATATCTTATATTAATGCTGAAGAACATGTATTCATTACCCCTAAACGTAATTATGTAGATCTTTCAATTATACATTAAGAACCTTTTTTCCTGGCAAGAAACTTCCAACGAATGGGCAAAATATTATTCAACATACGTTGGCGTATAAATAAATATTTATCAGTTTATCGGTCTGAGTAGTGGATTTCCAAGATATACTCCCCGCCAGGGGGCTGAGGTAATAAGACTGCTGTATAGTCTTTTGGTTCGTAGCCCTTCCCAAAAGACTACCTGATATTTTTGCAATTTAAATACGAGCCACTTTCCATTTTCCATGAAGCCATCCAATTTTTTTTCTCTTAGAAAACTGTGACATATTTCCCCGTATTAAATTAAACAAATAAGTAAGTTGTACTATACCTACATTATATAAATAAAAAATTTCTGAACTTTATCCTATGGAAGATTTAAATCAAATAAATTCTTTATTAATAATGTGAGTCTTACGTAGAGCACTTAAAACTGTGTTCTTTACACTAAAATCACATCATTGATTGAGTCGATAAGACGGCTGAACACTGGTAGTTCGCCCCTGGCATGTATCTCAGCGAAAGGAACAGTTACATAGGATTTTCGTATTCTACCTCATGTTCAAATTAAACATGAACCAGCTTTTCTTCGAAAATCATCTATGAAGACATTCCTTTCCTGAGGAAGAGAGCCCTCATGTATTCTCTTTTAATTAATTAATAACCAACTATATTTTTATTAATATGCTAATGCAAATTCTGAAAACTTTATCACATAAATTTATACAAACAGCTAGTTGCCCATTACCTATTTTGCTATTGAAAAGAGTTTAAAGATGTCCAATTTAAATTCAATTTAGAACATGACAGTTCTTTCGTAGCTTATGGTTGTGCAAAAAAGTTACTCAAGTTTTAGTAACCTAAAAATAATCTTAAATCTTCAGACAAATTAATCTTAAAAAATTCCTTTAATAGGTGATACCTAGACACTTTTGCTTCAAGTGAGGGACTCTGGATACACAAGAGAATATGAAAAGTAACAGTATTAGTTTCAGACCAATTTTTTTTTCCCTCTTTTGGAGTTTTGCTGAATTTTAATGTACATAATGTAAAAGTTCTATGGTTTTTAACTGTCATTTCGGTACTACGTATGTTTCATATATTGGTTTTAGACCAATTTTTTTTTTTTTTTTTTTTTTTTTTTTTTTTTTTTTTTTTTTGAGTTTTGTTGTATCAGGTATTTCTTCCGCCTTCCTAGCGTGCCTTCGTGGTGTATAGTTCTGCACGCTGGGCCGGTGTTCCAGAGGTCCGTGGTTCGATTCCCGGCAAAGGTGGTTGCTAATTTTTCATCTCTCCGGCCTCCAAAAAATACCTGATGTCTCTACAGTGGCGCCCGAACTAAAAGGGTTGTTGGATGATGATTCTCCGCACCCAGATTTGGCTATTGGGTCCCCTAAAAACTCCAGTCGCCCTTTAAAAGGGGGAGTATATAAGGTATTTCTCCCACCTTCCTAGCATGCCATCGTGGTGTAGTGGTTCTGCACGCTGGGCCGGTATTCCAGAGGTCCGTGGTTCGATTCCCGGCGAAGGCGATTGCTAATTTTTCATCTCTCCGGCTTTTCCAATTAACCTATTATCTCTATAGTGGCGCCCAAACTAAAAGGGTGTTGGATAAGGATTCTCCACACCCAGTATTTGGCGATTGAGTCCCCTAAAACCCCAGTCGCACTTTAAAAAGGGGAGTATATAAGGTATTTCTCTCCCGTTTCTAGTGTGCCTTCGTGGTGTAGTGTTTCTGCACACTGGGCCGGTATTCCAGAGGTTCGTGGTTCGATTCTCGGCGAAGGCGTTTGCTCATTTTTCATCTTTCCTGCTTCCAAAAATATCCTACTGTCTCTACAGTTGAATTTTAATGTACATAATGTAATTTTCTATAGTTTTTAACTGTCATTTTGGCACTATGCAGGTTTATGCCTTTTTTCCAAGCGTTTCGAAAATATTTAGGGAAAATTCTGGTACATTTCAGATTCGAAGTTTCGTTTTTATATGAATTTTAAAGTTTTTAATAAAAATTTGATGAAATCTTTTTTACGGTTTTTGATCTCAAACTGACCAGAACGAAACATATTAATCGACGTTAATGAATCTTTAATTCATGTTCCCCTGATGAGTTTTGAATTGGAGTTTGAATGAAAGGAGATTTATTTTTTATTTGTATATTTTCTCTTTCGTATTTTCATTTTCCGAGATTGTTCTACTATGAATTCCCTCTTTAATCTATTAGTTCTGATATTATGTTACAAATATTATACACGGTTGAATTATTATATTATGGAGGAAATGTCTTTCTTTTATTCCAATTTACTAATTAATTTAGATGCTTTAAGTTTATTCTACTTCTATCCTGCAGCTATAGCGCAGGGCGGGTTTTAAAAAAAATTTAGTCTAATTTTTAATTCGAATTTTTCGCCTTTTTATATATTTCTATAGCAGTCGTGAAGCTTTGCATCAAAGTTCAGGCATGATTTTTGCAGAGTGACAAGGAAGAATCCAAAGACGACACAAATTGGTTTAGCTTCTAATTGCCCATTTTTATTTACTCCAATTAGCAGATCATTTTCCTTTTAGATGACACTCTCTAAATTAATATCATAGGATTTAACTAGTATGATTGAATTTAAACTTATGCGTCATACTAATTCTAACAAAGGAAGAAAGAGGGAAAAGATGGCGCGCAGTCTTGTAGCAGCGAGATTAGGAAGCAATCTGACTAAAAATGGCGCGTGCTCAGTATTCAAAATTTTACATATTATGATTTTATTGTTCGAAAGCTAACATATTTTGTATGTTTCAAAATTATATATCTCATGTTTTGCTACTCTAATGCTTTATCTCTCAAAAAAGCTTCTCTATCGCTTCGCCCCTTTTTCTTTTGAAAGGGGGGAATGTGCAAGATAAAAAATATGAAAGCAGACTTCTAAATTTAATTCGCTATAACCTCTTTTATTTTCTATTTCATTTGGAAACTTCATCTATCTGTCCTAAAAGTAGCGCTTAAGTCTAAACTGCGTCATTCAAATTAATCATGGCATCTTACGTAACCCATGTGAAGATTTCTCTTGACCAATCACTTAATTGTAAACCAAAACTCAAAACTGAAACTTTTGCCCCTCCTTCTTCCTCTGCATAACTACTGCGATACTCACTCTCTTCTGGTTTATGCTTTCACCCTGTTAAGACGCTTTCGCTTGTGCTTTGTGGCTACCTTCTTTGTTCAAGGAATATGAGCTGATGAAACAAAAATGGAGAGCGCATAAGACGCTCGTCTGTATGTGAACCAAATATTGCGAATCCCGACCTGCTTTCTTCAATAATAAAGTTATCTTGAATCCCGACATGTTTGCCACGTTTCTTCGCTGCTCATCTATTACGCCACCGCCAAGCTCCAAATCATTCATTTTATATCATGACATTTTTAGCCGAACAGGATTCGTGTACCTGCTGCCTAGAACTCCAATGGGAAAAGTATCTGCAAGTTCATCGTTCTTTAAAGTTAGATATCATCGAGTATTCAAATATGGTACCTACTTCATTTTGTAAATTCTTCAGAAAAAGTGAATGGAACTAACTTCCGATGCAGTGTTTCCAAAATTTGTGCTTTCATTACATATATATATATATATATATATGATAAGAATATACAAAGATGGCTGCATAATTATAAAGATGACATTCGAAGGAGAGACTTGTACACACGTAGCCGGCAGTATAATCTTTATTGCTGGACACGAACTAATTATTAAAACTATAATTTTCATTACACGTGATCATGAGCGCAATACGCGCACCACAATTTTATCTAGCATATTAAATAACGGCGTAGTTAGCATCACGACAACGAAAAGCGAAAGGAAACAGCGTTTAAGCGGCAACAAAGCTTAAAGCTTAAGCGGCAAAAAAGCTTCAAGCTAACTGCGCATTTAAAATTCAATCTGGAAATCGTTAAGAGAAGTTAGAGAGGTTTCAGTTCTCAGAGTTTGGGTTCTGAAACTACGTCATCAGCGTTGCGCAGGCCATGCAACATGGATTGATCTAGAAAGGACCCAACCCAGAGGAGTTATTACGATATTTAGAATAGAGAGGGAGAAGTAAGGTGTTACCGTTAGTTAAAATTATAATTTTGATTTACATATTGTTTTTATCGTACATATATTTATACTAACAATAACCCTCACTTATCCACAACGCCTCTGGATTACGTCATTTTTAGATCAATCCATCTTGCATGGCCTGCGCAAAGCAGATTATGTAATTTCGAGAGCGTTCTTAATAGAGAGGAAGTTAATAGAGAGGAGAGGATTAATAGAGAGGAAATTAAAAATGAGCAGTCAAGAGACTTTTTAAAGTTATAATTTTGATTTCCATATTTTTTTTATCTTACAAAGATATATATACCCGAGAAAATATAAGTGACATTATGTGACTAAATGACATGTTAACAACACGTAAAG